GAATGATCGACCGCGTGGAATGGGGTCGGGGAAATATTTGCGATTTTTACTGCTACACACTGTTGCCAATTTCTTTTGTAATACTGCAGGAAATGCATGTTTACTTGCATGAAGACCAATAGAATACATTGCAAATAGAAGTCCAGTGAAAACAAACCGTTGGCAACTTCAGTATTGCAAACACAAGGAGAACCTACTAAACATACATATAGCTTTACGTTTAAAGAAATTTATAACCAGTATTGAATGTAAATAATGTAAACTCGAATGATTTGACACACAGAAGCATTTTCGCATTCCACGCTGCATTAGTTTGTAGTCCCGAAAAGTTCAGTATGGTTAAGAATTAAGGTACATATTGGAATAATAAAATTGTTTATGGAAGTACCTACTTGTCTGCATATTTCACCCACGCCCAAATGACGGGTCGTCAACAATTTATTCAAAATCAAGGATTTGTGCCAGTTTGCCTTACAGCACGGCAGTGCCTCTGTTTATGGACACTTTAAAATTAATCTATTCACAGTATTAACATCAGTCGTTACATACAAATAAATGAAAGCAAACCAGTCAATCAATGTAAGTCTAAAGATCGTATATCAAAAGCTTGATAAATATTCAAATTACTGTCAAGAATGGCAGAGAATTTTACGATCATCATGTATTGTAGCTTTATAATTTCTGTATTATTACAAACGAAAACAAATGCAACCCATAAATACTATTATCAACAGAACGTTACTGATGTTCACCTTATTAAGTGCCTCGTTAATTACTTTCCCATAAAAAAGAACTTTCTTTAATGAATACGCCCGTAAATAACGATATTAATTTTTATTAGACGTTTTTAAGTCGAATAGCGGTAAAGTATCGGTTTCATTCCATCATCCAACAGATTGGAATCTTACACTTTACACGGATATTAATTTGTCCTTAACGTTTATGGAGGAAATAATAAATAGGCAAGAGTCTTGAAGCAACTTTGCCTGGGCATCCTCCGATGGCTAATCAAACACTCTTATGCAAATCAAGCAAATAGTTATACAATTTTATGAGCGACGACTATCGTCAATTTATCACTCCCTATATGGGGGAACAAACATGCAGAAATTCCATCCGACCATTCCAAGCCCCGCTATGTCGACACACCATATTTTGCAAGTTTATCATTGCTTATGCTAACTTCATGAAGTTATGGGGCAGGCCCACTACACAAATACATGTTACACCATTTATAGACTTCTGAATGGCAGAACTTCATAAAAGGTGTAACATTGCAGAGATACGAAAACTAAAATAGATGTGCATAACAATGAAAAAGTCGGTACAAGTAAGTAAACAACTGCTTTATGACGGCATATAGATAAGAGAGGAATGCCAATTTTGATTAGAAATGAGAGCAGAACAGCTTTTATCGCAAACTCACATAGATAACTTTTAAACATTCGTGATTTTAAACACATTTTCATTACTGCCGTTGTCAAACAGATACTTTGTAGATAGATTAGACTATACATGTTTCAAATCAACTCTCGCTTTCTGTCATACTTCATAATATACTTTGAGATGTCGGATTGCGATTACTCGGAACCTAAGTTATTTAGTATTGATACAAGTTGGTTTTCAAAAATTCTAAATCTTATTCGTCTATTCGCATTAAGTTGTTGAAATCAAAATAAATCTGTAGTGTAGCCGTCGGCAGCGACGGAGTCGACGCGCGTCTGGGTGTATAAAATCGCCAAGGACATATTTATCTGAGAGGAATGCGTAGAATAAACAATGTTGTACGCTATTTCGCGTCCGTTCGCCGCCACGCGCCGCACCCTGCGGTTCACACACTAACAAACGTTTTGTAAATCTTCTTTGCAAATGATAGAAGTCCCATTGAGTACCTAATCAACTTTAAACTTGAATAGGTTATGTGAACAAATAAACTTATTTAAAACGCCCTTCATTAAAGTCAAGAAACGTTGTAAAATGCCCAGCCCCTTCAACGTTACGCATGAGGGGACTCAGAACTTGTGCAGTGCGTGGGAAGCACATACTTGGGTTACACAATCTTGTGAAGATACCTTCGTTAAACACGATTGATTTTATATTCAAAATCTTTCTATGAACGCTGATTAGATTTTCATATAATTATGGGGTATCGCTGTTCGTCGCAATTAACGGTAAGTATAATGAAGTCATGCATCGTTTGCTTAGCCCATTTTAATTGTGATATTTTTAAGGTTATTCGTGATATTGACAACAATTCCCTTTGCTTGTGTATGAATCCAACATCTAATAAAATATTGAATTAAACCAATTCTAATGGTGTTATAAAACATTGTTTTGCAGCAAAGATAAATGAATAAGGAACAATTATATTATAAAATTAGCCACAAGCTACCCAACCACAGATATGCAGATCGCATTGAAACATTCCAACGCGAGCATCCTTGTATTTCCCACATATAATTTGCCAGCACCTATCTAGGTACACATAGACGACTAACGCAGATTTCACTCGCAACATAGAATTATGTATTAACAATCAACTGAACGCAACACTCTGGTATGCAACAGAACAATGTACCTGCTTAGTGAAACTGCATTCAACCGATACAATTAAAGTAATAAACACTGGCAAACACAGGTATAAGTTCCCATTCGCTTGTTAATCGACGCTATCATTGTCTTTGCCGCTTCCTTGCTTAAAGACACAATGTGTAGTTTTTCCAAAGTTCACAATGCGTAGCTGTCGAACACTTCTATATGGTTTACTTTTTGCCTCCATCTATTTATGCCCTCATCTAGTTACGTATCACACTTGTCTTCGAGATCTGCGAAAACCGCAAAATGCTTATTCGCACGCAACATCTCGTTACAGAAGCATTTGAGAAGCCACTTATTACCGTAAATGTATAGTTTTAGCGCCCAACGACACTATAAACTTCTATATCTTGTTAAAATAGGTAAATATTCATAACAAACGAAGATCTCAAGTCCTCAAAATGGGACCATTACATCTGCATTAAAAAACTAGGTCTACTTAACTGACAACATTCTTATAATAGGTAGGCAAATAATTGCATTCTCCCAAAGGAACAACTTGAGTTGAGGGCACATTTTTCATAGTACGTTTAGGTTCCGTATAAGGTTAATAGCGTCGTATGCGTCCGAGACGTGGCCGGGTTATTTTTAGCATTAATAAATTGGCTTAGTGGCTCCATTTATTGTGTGCGCGTTTCGCACAAGTAGATGTCGACGTTAGAGTGACATCCGCGGTACCTCCACTCCACATACAAATTCTAGGTCAATTTTGACTGGCATTGCTCTTTTACTATGCAGTGTTTTTCAAAACAATGCTCTCAGCAGTTAATTTTAAGGCAGTAGCTGCTTTTCCAAATTTTGCATTAACTAGTTAGGTACTAGTAGTAAATTCTTATATTGTTTTTATCTTTTCCTATTAAAATACACTGTGTCTGTAGTTTTTCTACAACGATTCGAAAATCCATATCTTCATGTTTGGAATTTTATCAGGTTGATAACCAATGTCTTAAATATCATATTGTAAAGTCGACTGTACGGAATGCAGTTTGGCAAAGGGTTCAATAAAAATACCACTTTATGTTTCCTGTGTCAGCAGTGAATTTTATTGTGGTGTCAATGTACCGGGACCAGATTCTTGTGTGCTTTCTTAACTTGAATCAATTTAATCCACATTCGCATTCATGCAATATTTGTTCAATACTTAATTCGATTGTAAAACTGAATATTATCGAGATCTCCGGAATCGACTATAAGTCTGTAATGGCATACAAAATAACAATTTATTGTATGACTTCGTCTCTCCGGCTTAAACATGAACTTCTAAGGTTAGTATTCAATGTTCACTTGTTTATGTTTGCGACATAACTTCTTGTAATTAAAACTGCAATCATTTGATACAATAAATCCGCATATTAAATGCTATTCTGTTTTTCTTCGCGTACACCACTCTTGATAAATGTTATTACTTCACATGCAACTACACCATGTTTTCTGCCACACTTGTAATGGACCAGAACTAGACATCCCTCCTGCTAATTGTTACAGCGTTTAGCATCACCAAGTGATAATTGACCGGTTTTAACTGTAACCATGCATTTTCAAGTGCAGGTGTAGTTTTTAAGGTTAACTTTTAAAACAATAGTGCAGGTGTCAGTTTAACTATGGTAAATAGATACGGCTAGAGACATGATCGGTATTTAATAGGGATGTGTTGTGCAGCACCTGCAGCTTGGTGAGGTGGTGAAGGGGGGTGTGGGGAGACGGCGGGGTGGCGGGGGAGGGGGAGTGCGCCGCTTTAGAAAGGCGCGACCATCGCCGCAGGCCCGGGCCGCATTCTACGGCCTGTCATTCACACCGCGCAACTTGCCTATGCATTGCATTCCATCTCCCACCGCGTTCTCCACGCATCGGCACCATACACACACGCGCACCTTACGAAACCACCGACCGCACCACCATCTAGACAACATGCCACATTCATTCTTAACACATAAACGCTTCATCGAATTATTTCTGCGCCAGTTCAGCCACTAGCATTGCTATGAACCAGTTCCGTGGCCTCATTAATCGCGTACTGACTGCTCCGTTCACCAAAAATGAACCCATACGAAAACAAGACCACAATACACATTCCAAAGGATAACAAATGATAACCATAATTTGTGTTTAGCTCATTTGTTGTCACTAAATAGTGGAATGTCGTGTGAAATCGAGGTTGTCGCGCATTCTTACCACTAGAGAGCAGCAACGTCGCGGCGACGGAACAGTTTGTTTTTCACGATTTATTCTACTTTAAAGTTACATTTAACACTTTTAACTTCAACACAACTAATTAATTCACGTGCACTTCCGATATTTACGTCCACAACACTCAAATTCAATCAGAAAACGTTAGAAATCGCATTGGAATGTAAAGTTTTGACATGGGGCTCTTACGGGTTAACACTTCTCTTTGGAAAACCTACCTGTCTCGCGGGTCGATCCACGTCGTTTTTCTACTGTTGTGGTCGATGAAATACAGTTTTCCGTCAAAGTCCCTCGCGTAATCCCATCCGTCGGGCAAGGGTATCTCACCGTTTCGTCTCCTTGGCATATTTCACTGATTAAATCCATTCAAACGAGTAACGAAGCACACTCGCGAACTAGCTACACGGCCATGTTGAATACCTCATTACGAGGTGTGACGTCACGCGGGATCGGCCAATAGCGGCGAAGGGCCCCCACGATGGAATGCGGCGCGTACGCGAGCGCGAACACACGAAGCGGTTCCGTACGTCACTCGAGCGATAGCAACGATACACGCGACCGCACCACGCGACCCCGCGTCGCCGACTAAACCCCGCCGACTCGCAGCCACGTTATCACCGCACATGATAATATTCACTACCAGCACCTACTGTCTAAATGCATTCCTCGGCCATCTAATGTTTACATTACATGGTCTACTAGTGCCGACTGACTGATGCTATGTACGGTGCGGAGACTGTAAAACGAACTGGCAATGTAAGCAAAAAGTAGGTAGGTACATACCCATTCAATCTATTTACGATTCCGCTGTATAAATATGTATAGACGGGCGTGTATACGTATAGATCGCATTCCACAGCGTATGTACGTATATACAAGCATACATACAAATTACTGATACAACTTATACCTATATAAGTACGTTTATCTGTTGCTATATTAATATTGTTGATGTTATATACTTACAAGTTAATATATTGTGTTATGATTATCTTGTAGTTTAATGTGACCTACTATTTTTTAACTGGTAGGTGTAAGAACTTAGAAACAAGGTTACAACTGACATTCCTTCGACGGAAGCGATAATTTAGCGTCAAAAGTAGGCAAGTAACAAGCTTTGCAATTTTTGTGTTAAAATTATTTAAATACGCAAGACACTTATAACTGTCGGTCGTGCAATATTCTTTCTTTTATAAAAACATCATAACGAAATTTAACTAAAATACTATACAGACTAATGGTACGAAGTACGAAGACCAGAATAGGTAATATCATCTAAAAAGTTTGAACAAAAGACCAGTTTATCAGCATTCACAAAAGCCATGGATGTATTCCACTACACCGTCTTAAATATCGTAAACTTACAATAGACACTAATTTATCTGTACATTTGTTATGTACTTGTTTTTCAACACTTTAGAGTTTTACTTCAGAGTAAGGTTAGCCTTACTGTGGAATTTTATTTATTTATTTGTATCTTTGGAGTAGATTCATTACGACTATTTTTTTTGTTTTTAATTAATATTCTATACAATACACTATTAAGTAATATGAATATTCTAGCGAAATCAAAAATTGGAAAACCGTGATTTCTATCCCAATACAATGGAATGTTTACGCTGGTAGAGGATACCGATGCGATGGTGGTAAAGAGTAGAGCCTAGAGACTGTGACCGATCCTAGCTACGGTGGCTAGCCTAGATACAAGGAGTAGTAAAGGAGTGGTTTTAAATCAGTAAGAGTCTGACACTCCCTGTCGCCTCACCGACGGCGGGAGATGTGATTGGATGTATTTCTTAAAAAAAACCTAGATACGATATACTATGGTAAAGTTTAGCTACCTCTATAATAGTAGATCCTAGAAATAAAGCGATGTTAAGGCTGGCATTAGTACGGGTCATGATGCGGAGCGAGGGGGATGCGCAGCGAAGCGCTGCCTCCTCGCAACCCAACCACCGTAAAGAACATTCCGGGCGTCGGGATCGCTCGACGATCTTCGGCCACCGTAAGCGCGGGCCTGCGGACGGCGAGCATGGGTGACACCTCAAAGAGCCATCAGACCACTATGGATGGGGCCCGATAGGGCTGATGCCGATTCGGAGTCGCGGAGAACCTAACGAGTTATTGTGGCTCCAGCTCGAAGTGCAGGAGAAGGAACGGGGTGGTTTTTAAACAATCGATGATTTTCCCCCCTTAAAAAAAGGCCTGGCAATGGCGATTAGAGTCTAGCTACAGTGATAGAACCAAGTGATGGTGATAAAACCAAGAGAAGGTGGTAGAACCTAGAGGCGGTAATAGAGCCCAGAGACGGTGACAGAATATAAAACGGTGGAAGAACTTAGAGACACTGATAGAACCCAGAGATGGTGGTCAATCCTAATTACGGTAGTAGAATCAAGGCAGGTAGTTTATTTTAATAGAATGAGCGGGCTCTGCCTACGAACCTACCTACCCTCTTACCAATTATGACGACGTAATATTTATCGTAGGTACTTAGTGACGTACATAGTTACGTACCTACTTACTAAATACCCATTCTTACAATGACGAATGACAGTCTCAGAATAACTTACGTGGACTAGCCTGAAGGAATCCCTAAATAGTAAGTAGTACCTATGTACCTTTTTAGAAAGCAGCTTTACCTACAATTGAAGTATTAAACTGTCAAACACCAAGCGGTCACCGGTGACCGCAACCTATTGTTCTATAATTGTGTCTACAAAACCGGTACTCGACGAATTAAATACCTAATCGCCTTGAGGGATAAATATTCCCTAATCTCCTCACCTGATGGATCAGGAAATGCTCAAGTCGCTACCACGAGTCAGTCGTAGCTTTGCAGGCCTCCCGTTGGTTGGACTGACCACATCGTCAGTCTTGGGGAGCCAATGGATGTAAGTGGCGAAGATGTAGTATTCTGTGGTAAAGCGGTTTGTTAAGGCTTTTTCTGAACCAAGTGCTGACAGTGAACATCTTGTCACAGAAGATGATGATCTCGTCACCTGAAAGAAAATTTACGTTTCATAGGTTTTTTTTTGAGTTGGATAATCATTCAATGACTTCTCAAACCCTTACTGGCTAAAAACCACGCCGTGCCTAATCCTGTTCTTCGAGCCGGAGCACCGGCAACCCGTTAGGCCGTCCGCGGCTCCTTATTGGGCATCAGTCCTACTGGGCCCCATTTGTGATGGTCTGTTGGCCCTTTGAGGCGAGCGCGGAACGCGACGCGCCGTAAGCATGGGTATGGTTCTGGTCACTTCTGGTCTAGCGAGGTACCCTTGTACGTTTCATAGGTAAGAACCTATTATTATTTGAAGAATACAAACGTATACAACCTACTTTTTATGACTGTTACCGACTACTTTGTTACATTTAATAATAAATAATTTTTAAGGTAGGGCCACATTAAAATAACATCACAATCATAATACATTTTTACAGGTAAACCAGTAAACCTTCATACATACCCACGCACGCGCAATACCTAGATAGGTACGTGTTTGCTCCCATATCGGCTGACCAAAATAATTTGTAAGTACCTACCTAAAATGGAATTTAGAGTAAGTTCCCATGTTAATAAGGTCCTACCTGGTTATACTACCTAGATATTAGAAGCAGTTTACGTAAATAGTAACCTCTTATAGAATGTATCACGTAAGTTATAATATAAACATAGTAACATTACGTAATAAATAGGTAGTAACTTACCAAAAAACTGGCTTCCCAATTGTTATATCGCAGTTTCCATCCCTTAATTAGTTGCTTCATTAATTGAACGCTAGGCAAATTAATTAAAAATCAATGTAAGACACAAAAAACTATTGAAAATCGACGCCAGGCTTTTAATCGAAGACACTAGGTAAGTTTTGTTTTTACGGACACTAGCTTCAATTCATTTGAAATAAGTAGCTAAAAAGCAAGTTAATAGCAAGTAAGCACATTTGTGGGAGCAAACTATTCAATACAAACCACTAATAAATTGTTAAACACCAAAATCAAACTTCTCTTCACAATTCTAAGTAAAAATTTTGCAATTTGAAATTTTCGCACATTTTTTTTCCTAACGAATCAACAGTGATGCAAAGACCATTATGTCATTCAGCCTACTGATATTTTTAATTATGTTGATCAAATTAATTATGTTTCCAATACAAAAATTTTATTTATTACTTTAATACTATTAGTGGTCATAAATAACTCATAAGAATGAAAATTATGGGTCTAAGTTATTTTAAAAATAGAAATATTTACAAATTCTATGCTTAATAATGTGGATATAACCGACTACAAATTCGTTACTGCTACGTGATTAAACAAGGATAGAGTATACGCTTATTAAATGTATTTTTGGAATACGGAACGCGGCGCACAAGGTTTTGTCATATCAATGTCAAATGTCATGTGTTGTTGGCAGTTTTGTCAACACGTATTTCACCATTCGTAAGAGGATTTAATTTTCCATTACATATATCCATATCTAAAGTGAAACAGTTCGAAATTTAAAATATAAAACACAATGGCTACAAGTGATAGTGAGGACTTTGAGAGTGCAGATGAAGGTCATGGAAGTCCAGACAAGAAACAAAGAAAGAAACGCTTGTCCTCTTCAAATTACAGCGACAACGCATCGGAAACAGAACAAAAAGTTTCGAATACTCCTAAAGAATCTAGTAATGTTAAACATGTTGAGGATAAAGTGGTATGTATGTTGTAAACATTATAAAGTGTAAACAAGAAAGTCTAAGTATCTAATTAGTCAGATTGAACCCAACCCTTGTTATTGCACTTGCTTTGAATCATCACTATCTAACATGTCCATAATATTTGTTTCGACCCTTTAGTTGTTGTGTTGCATCAGAATTTTCCGTCTAATTAGAAAGATACTCTACTTATACTCTCATATTTTTGAAGTAAAGATCAAGTCTAAGTTATCATTTAATTACTTCTTTATGGAATATATAAACATATGTTTTAAAAGTACAGATTACAAATATATTGTGTGACATCTTTTTTTATGAGATAAGCCGGTAAAAGAGCAGACAGATCACCTGATGGTAAGCAATCAGCATCGCCCATGGAGACCTGAAACGCCAGAGGCGTTACAAGTCTATTACCGGCTTTTTGGGGATTAGGAGTTTGAGGATTGTTGGGAATTCAGAGATTGGAGAGATTGGGTAAGGTGGGAGACGGGTAATTTGGCCTCTTTTCTGTGAGGCCGTGGTATCACTCTGGTCAAGCCGGCTCATTCTTGCCGAAACATGGCTCTCCAACACTTTAACTACTACACAATAAAATATAAGCATTCTAACATTCTAACATTATTCTATAGCCACAAGATTCCAGTGACATTATCTTATCAAGAACATAAATTGTATTAAATATCCATAAATTATAGCAAATATTTTTATGACATAACATCCTTAAATTCAAGATATTTAAACAACAATCGTACCAATATAGTTTTTGTTAAATATTGGACAAAATATTTAATTCATGCTACTGATATGACCTCGTGATGTTAATTTGTTTTGCTAATTGATTTCAAACAGCTGCTACATAAGGAATGTTGCTATATTTTACTTTAGACGGATTACCATGCAACCTTCACGGATGATTTCACATGTTAAATAGATAATTTATAAAGGCTGCTATGTATTTAAATGTTTCCTGTGTTGTTTTGCTTAAAACACAGAAATTTAATATGGTCTTGTGTATAAATTATTAGTTGCCTCTATTATAGTAATATATAATACTCGACATCCCTAAAAGCCTCGACATCCCTAAAAGCCTCGACATCCCTAAAAGCCTCGACATCCATCTTAGGAGGCTGGCGTTAGATGGATGGATCAAGGGCCTGATACAGAAGGCAGTTCTCCTAGAAACGGCACGTATCGTGAGGAGGTTTCTGTCTTTGGAGCCCTAACCACCGGTAGCTTGGACCATGCTCCCGCTACTGGTCGGCTCCTATTTTTTATATTTTTAAATATTATTTTTATTTTATAAGTAGTGTTTAAAAATGTAATTTATAGAGAATTTTAAATAAATATATGTAAATGCAATTTATTTCTCTTTATTGCTCTTCTATAAATTATGATGACATTGTTTTGAAAATTTTAATTATTTACATGTTACATTTTGTGTTTGTTACAAAACAAACTACTAGTTTTTAAATTAATTATTATGTTTTCGGCTTACTGACGTAACTGTTTGACGAGGAACTTGACTACTTCAAGCTATGCTAGACATGTGCATGTCAGTAGCAGCGTGACAGTCGCCGCTTCGCGGGTCGCGGAATGCTGCTCATGAATAAGAGCCTCTAGCATGGGTTGAAACTATTCGATTTTCTCATTAAACAGTTACGCGAGTAAGCCGAAATTATAATAATTAATCAGTATGTCTCACAAAAGTTTAATATAATCATCACTAGTTTCTGGCCGCGGCTTCGCCTGCATTCCCATGGGATAAGAAGTAGACAATATGTTATTCCAGGCCATAATCATCCCTTGTTCTAAATTTCATCACAGTCTCTTCAGCCGTTTTGACATGATTGCGTAGCAAACAAACACAGAAACTGACGAACTTTCATATTAATAATATTAGTGAGATGAGATTCTCCTTTCCAGAAAGAAACCGATGGTTGGGATGACTTTGACATTGATGACAATGAACCCGAACCCACATCGGTAAAAAGTAATGCACAGAAGCAGAATAAACTAGAAGATAAGCCTAGCAATGTAAAGGAGAGCAAAAAGTCTCAGGATACTGGCTGGGATGACTTCGATGATTGGGGAGAGGATGATGCCTCGACCAATGTACAAAAGGTAATATAATATTAATAGACAATATTAGACATTAGTTAAGTTAAACTGCAGCTCCCAATCTTTTTTAGCAGCACATCAAGATAGAATTTTCCTGCATACTTAAGTAATTTAATTTTTCTTGATGTCTAAAAGCACTTCTAGACTTGAAGAAAAAATTTTAATTGTTGTTTCAGGTCTGGGTGTCATGTGTATATGACATTGTATGTTTGTAAACGCACCTACGACACAGGAGAAAATCCTAGAATGAAGCAATATAAACCCTTTAAAAAAAATACACTTGATTTTGTAAATAGACAATACAGTCCCTAACACTGTCGGATCTTATTGTTTGATAATTTATAACTAAAGTAGGCAAGGCCCAAAAATAAAAACTGAAAATTACAGTGTTTTGCTGTAATGAAACTATTCACACAGAATTTGATGAAGTCTAAAAGAAAACTCTATTCGCAGCCAGAACCGAAGCCAGTTCATCCTAAACCGCAGCCAGCTCAAAGCCAAAAACCAGAGCCTAACATTCAGGAGGTGACAGACAGACTGGCTGCAGCGTCCACTGGTGGTGGTGGGTGGGGGTGGGGCTGGAGTGTGGACTCCTTGCTGAGCAGCGCCACTGCTGGTATCAGTACTATCACCAGTCAAGTTTCACAGGTAATTATTTCTATTTTATGGTAATAATACAAGTGACTTATTCGTAGATGACTGCACGGTTGGTGCGGTGGCTGGGCAACATGTCGCGGGTTCGATTCCCGCACGGAACAACACTCTGTGTGATCCACAAATTGTTGTTTCGGGTCTGGGTGTGATGTGTATGTGAACTTGTAAGTTTGTAAACGCACCCACGACACAGGAAATAATACTAGTGTGGAGCAATGGTCCTATTGAAAAAAAAAAACTTTTGTACAGAACAACAGATTTTATTTTGTAAACAACTTTGGCCTCTAGTGATTAATTAATTAATTTCTGTATTTATTAAATTCTAATGGAAACTTGTGGGCAGTGTTGTGGGTTGCATTATTGCCCAAAACGTATCTTGTGTAAACTTTTTAGCTAGTTAGACTTTATAATGTAACCATTTACTGATCCTCTTAACAAAATTAAAAAAAAATACAAATATTTGGTTCAAAGACTTTGAAGTAGTTACGTTGAAAGATGACACTGACAGATGACTATGCTTTAACTATCGCTTAGGATATTGTAAAACTCAGTAGTTGTCCGTGATGGTTAGACCGTTTACATTCTTATATTTATTCATTAGTAAATCAAGGTATGATCTTACTTTTCTAGGGAATATCAACAGTCCTAGAAACGGGAATAGGTGCTCCTGACCCAGAAGAATTAGCCAGAAGGTCAGTAAAGACCAATGAGACCAAAACCGATAGATCTGCGCCTGCGCCGGAAGCTGACAAAAGGCCTGAAACAGGAAGTGAACAAGAAGCCAGTGCTGGAGACGCTGCATTCCCATTCGGAAGTCTTTTATCTGGTGTTACCAAGTTTGTTGAAACTACTGGTGAGGAAATGTTTCATGATTTTAAAATTTGTTACATAGCAGTAAAGATAAAAAAAAATTGTTTGAGCCGTCAGCATTTATTGAACAGCTCAATATCCTGGCAATTAATAAAAAGGCAGTTGATGACTTCTCTCTAATAATATGTAGAGAAACATAAGCTCCCTTTTTTAAGTTCATTAACCTGTGAAGTGTTGGAACGTACACAGCCACACATCAATCTATACAAAACCAGTTTATCCTGGTGTCGCGTCGCATCATCTTTCCGCACATTTAACGTTCAGTTTATACTGGTTATGTAAAGCTCGATGTGTAGCCGTGTGTACATCTACGCGAGCCACAACGTGTTTTCTATTGTGTCTCATATCGCACCTACGGTGCAATATCGTCACTTATGCAATTTTTGTCAAACCTTAACTAATGAAAGAATACTCCAAATTCACCTCTTGGTGCGTTATTTATTGTTATTTGTGTAGTAAGCAAACTGACATTGTGAGGGCATTACTGTCGTTACGGTTTTGGCCCTAATCTGGACGGCACTAGGAGAAACAACGTTTCATTGTTCAGTTGCGCTCGGGCCTCCGCAATACATAAGTGATGTTATAGCACCGGAGGTACGATATATCGACAGACATGCGGTTAAATAACTTGAAAGTATTTCCGTAAGGGGGACAGACGTAATAAAAGTAAAACAAAACATTTCAACATTCACCTTTTCATTTTATATTTTACTAACTAGTCCCGCGCAGTTTGATCTGCTCTGCTCGGCTTCTATTGATCGCAGTGTGATGTTTTATCGCCTATAGCTATCCTCGATACATGGACTATACAATACAAAGAGAATTATTCAAATCGGAGCAGTAGTTCTTGAGATTAGCGCGTTTAAACAAACAAACTCAGCTTCAAGTTTATACCTATAAGATTTTACATAACCTTATAGGTATAAAGGGGTAGGCAGAGGTGCACATATTACGGCACTTATTGTCTTATTATCTGTACAATGTAACACCCACTTTTCACTATTTATGTTATGAGTCCCATGTAATAGGGGTGAGCCTATTGCCATATTCCGGGCACATTTCCAGACTCCGTGCTACTACTGAGATTTTTAAAAACCCAATAATACTTTGCCCGACCCGGGAATCGAACTCGAGACCCCTTACCGTACTTGCGACCACTCGGCCAACAAGGCAGTAAGATTTTACAATTGATTGTAAACCTAAATTTAAATTAAATGCTCCTAATTCCAGGTACAAAAGTAATACACGGTGGCCTAGACACTTTAGAAACTATAGGCAAGAAGACGATGGAAGTTCTGCAAGACGGTGACCCTGGCCTGGCCAAGAAACGGGCCATGCTTGGCCTAGGAGCTGGGGATAAGCCAGTCCTTTCCCAAGTGCTGAGAGAGGCCAAGGCTAAAGCTGAGGAGGAAGATAAAGTTAGAGAGGAAAAGAGAGAGGCTAAAGAGGTTCATTATGAAAACCTCTTTGATGATTTTGAAGGTAATAGCATGAAATTTCTATTTTTTTCTTCAAGAGGAAATCAGTTCTCTTCTTCCTCTGGTCTTCTTTTGATAACATGGTAACATCATACTTGAAGCTTTTTTTTAGAGCAAGAGGGAGTGTCAGACTCTTACTGACTAAACCTCCCCGATCCTACTCCCGCGGCTCCGTATCGGACATCAGCCCTACTAGGCCCACCATACTTGAAGCTAACCAGTGTTTCTGGTGCTTTTTAAATGCTACTGGTAGTCTCTCCAGTTATTTTGTAGACTCAAACGAAATTAAAAGTGTAAAAAAATTAGATATTATTAATTTACTAGGTGACTCGACAGATGTCATTCCATTAGAACTGTCCAGCAGACTATAACGAAAATTAAATAAAACTGACAATGGCCCTTACAGTGCTGCACGTTCATCTACTCTTTTAAACTGTCAAACACCAAGCGGTCACCGGTGACCGCAACCTATTGTTCTATAATTGTGTCTACAAAACCGGTACTCGACGAGTTAATTGTTGGTTTATTTGTACAATTCCAGGCCTAGTCCACTTAGAAGCGCTGGAGATGTTGTCTAGACAAGTCAGTATGCGCATAGAGGAGCGGATACGTAGTGTGGACCTAGAAAAGAGGCAGGACATCAAGGAGACGCTGCAGCAAGTCGCTGGTAAGATTATTTTTAGGCTCTAAACACAATATTAAACTGCTATTGCCGTAAAACGAGGTAAATAGAATTTGAGGGGTGCTTAGTAATTTTTAAGCCGGTAAACGAGCAGACGGATCACCTGATGGTAAGCAATCGCTCATGGACGCCTAGAACACCAAAGGCGTTACAAGTGCGTTACCGACCTTTTAGTATTAGAAAATTGAGGGTTGTTGGGGATTCAGGGATTGGGGAGATTGGAGAAGGGGGTTATTTGGGCCTCCGGTAACTCACTCACACGACGAAACACAACGCAAGCGTTGTTTCACGTCAGTTTTCTGTGAGGCCGTGGTATCACTCCGGTCGAGCCGGCCCATTCGTGCCGAAGCATGGCTCTCCCACACTAAACACACAGTTAACAGAAATATTATATGTGGTATAACACCATATTCTATGTTCGAGTGTTAAATATTTCTATTATTTTTCTCCAGTTACGTTAAAAGTAATCCTATGACTTCTGCCGGCAGAACTGTGTGAAATGCCGGAAGAAGATGATGATTACGAGGAATCTCCAAGCGAAGATCTGTCCAAGCCGGACGCTTTCCATGAACGGCTCCAGACTGCTACACAGGACTTAGGACTCAAGCTGCAGTTCCAGGCACTGGTCAAGTAAGTTGATTTAAAAGAAACTATTACAATTGGGTACTTGCCTAAATCAAAAATAAATTATTTCGACTGTTCATTACAATAAAACATTAAAAAATAATCACACTTTCATTAATTGATTTTATGACCAACTTAATTGTCATATATTTCCAGCATTTTTTTAACAAATAAGTATGCTGTTTGACGCTAAAAAACGTGACGTCACAATACACAATTTCGTACAAAATTCATAGAAGACTGTCGTTTTTGACAATTCAAAAAAGTATTGAATTTGATTAGTTGGCAAGCTGCCTATTGTCAGTCTAGTCAGAAATTACATTCATTAATTGAGCATAGGGATTCGGAATACGAATACTTGTAAGGAATAGTCCTAATCCCTTTTTGTTGTAATTTGAAGTAATGTGAACAGAGAAAGAGATTCTGTCGATTTGATACACATTTTTTACCTACCGACGGCTGCTTGTTCTGACAGAAAATTTTATTTATCATTTCATGTACACCATACATATTGCAAGCATGAGGTACATAGGTACTGCACATCCCTTAAGAGATTTCGTCCTGCAGACCTGCAACTGGAAAAGGAATATAGACATTAGACACAACGTAAAGGTTACATGCAACAAAGACAAAGATCTAAAAGAAAACTTAAAATTAAAATGACCGATATATTTTAAAATGTATAAACGTTACTATAAAAATAGTTATTTTTATCTCTTATTCTAAACCCAAGATTCAACAGTTCAGCTTAGCTTATGATACCTCAACCTAATAAATTACCTCCACACCGACTAATCGTCATCATTATCCCTTTCTAATTTCCAGGCAATACACAGAAGTCCTAACCTACCTATCATCTCCGGAGGCTGACTCAGTGAAGTCTGTGTACAAGCGAGGAGTGTCGAGCCTGGCACAAGGAACTGCTTTATCAGTGGAACAGTACCATAAGGCCGCTGAGATGCTCCTCGTTAAGACTCGAAGATCCACTGCTGATGAGGCTGATGCGTTGACACAGTAAGTAAAAATATTTTCAAAGGATGTTCTCTACCAACGAAATTGTTACTATAAGTGTGGCCTCTCTTTTTGTCTACGTTATCTTCTATGTAATTTTTCTACCTTTGTTTTTGATGCTTCTAAGGTCTAAAAATGTTGCCTATGTCTGTCTATCATACCAACCTCTTCTTCCCAGAGGTAATAATAGGGTAGATGCCTAATTTTTATTTTAATGTCCGTCTGGTAGATTGCTTTAAATCATTAGACACACAAGATTTTTTTATTTTTTTACAGAAACGAATACTTTCGACGATATATTGATTTGAAATGTCGCGCGACGTCACTTCTATGTACATTTTATACGTAGACATGACGTTTTAGCCCCCACTCCTAAAATTTGATTCGTTTTATCTAGGTATTGTTTTATTATACGACAAAATAAAAAAATACGTGTCTAATATTTTTTCATTACCCAACTGACGGACTAATTAGATTTTTCATTTTCATACCCTGCCATCATCCTTTTTTTTTAAGGGGGGAAAATCATCGAATGACTGCTCCCGCCTGGGTGAGGCGGGAGAGAGTGTCAGACTTACTATTGTACTATAAAACATGACGGCGAATTATAATTTCATTTAAGGACATCTTGTAAACTTACCCATATTTTGCAAATAAATAATTTTAATTTGAAAAAACGCTCAGTGTGAAAAGACAATTTTATATTTACTAAGAATTAAATCTTCTTCCTACCCTCTCTCTTCTACGAAATCTCTTTCCTTCCTTAATCTCTCATATCATTTCAATTCTTCTATTCCAGAATGACAGTGGTGCTTACAAAACACATTAGTGAGCTGGCAACACTCTTCACTGAGAAGCTGAACGCACTACCATCTGACAATAAGGAACAAGTCAACACATACATCACCAATATATTCCTTGAGGTAAGTTGAATGATATTTATAATGTGCTTTTGTAATATCGTCCTTATTTTGTGACGAATATGACCGAAGGTAAGCAACCAATCGTACATTTAAATATCGGTTTAGATATATTTTGTAAACAACTGTTGTGACAGATACTGAATAAACAAAAAATCACGAGTTATTTACATATACTGCCGCCGCGGCGACGTCGCCGCGACCTCGCACGCTGCTCATGAGGAAGAGTCCCTTTGTGACTCGAAACTATCAGAGCTTTCTCAGTATATATACGTGAATAACTCGTGATTTTTAGTTCATTCGGTTTAGATATGTTGAAAAAAGGAATTCAATAGAAATGTATTTTTAAAGCCATGTATGGAGTATCTACTCCGAGTGGTACTTGTAAGACCAAATACATGACTATAGGGTAGTTATGACCTATTAACACTTTATAAAACAATTATACTGTGCAAGTATACCCTGGTTTACCGTCAATACATTATTTAAAGGACTCTCCCAATCTTCTATCATTGTTGAATCATATATTTATTTGTTTTCCAGGCTGGCAACAGTTCGACATACATACAGAATGCGTTCCAGTTAGCGTTACCTATACTACAAATAGGTGCTGTGTAAATTAAACAATTTTTGTATAATAAGTAGACACTGATCAAAAATTAAATTCCCTACTTACAAATAGATAGTAAACAACGATGCTGCTACGGTAAATAACTGCTTTCCATTAGACGGAATGTAGGCTCTAACTTATTTCCAAAATTCACAAAAATAAAGTATCGCAATAATAGTCACTAAATAAGTGGTTAATATGAATAAAATATTATCCAAGTATATATTCCAATTATAGTGAGATGGTACCTACCCAAGAATAATTTTGATAGTGAACAAAATTTTAAATTTGTTCTACAACTACCCAGAAAAAACTCCAAAAGCAATAATAGTAAATCAATCTGAGTAGAGCATTTTTGATCAGTGTTGTATAGATACTTGTGATATTGTAAAATGTTGTTATAAATATGTGTGGTTCAAAGTTTATTCCTAAATGTTTGAGAGTTTAGAAAGGGTTTTATTACAAATCAATTGTTAGCTGTATAAAGATTAGCTTTTACCAAGTGCGCAAATAAAGGCAATTAATGTATAAGTTCTACCATTCCACACTAATAAATATTATTTTTTACTTGCGCAAAATTCTTTATGTTGCGCTAAACTGCGCAAAATTCCTTGTTGCGCTAAATTGGATAGAATTCTTTGTTGCGCTAAAATGCGCAAAATTCCTTGTTGCGCTAAATTGCGCATAAATAACTCTTAATGACGTATACCTTATTGTTATGTGCTATAGGCTGCTCTCTACTTTTATCTTTCTTGTAAATTTAAAACATTCCCTAATTTTTTGTCGTATTTTATCTAATTTAACTCTTCTTTCAACTCAGTAGGTACCTTACCCTCAAATGCATGCTGACAATTGATTATAATATTAACTTTATAATATATCACTTCTAATAAATTGTTCAAATCTTGGGTCTAAAAATAAAATGTTCATGTAAAATACTTATATCACTAAATATTAATATATTATACGTGAAGAAATGGCGAATTTTCTCGAAAATCTATAATAAAAGTTTTATTATTTACATATTATACTTATGTATATGAATATGTCTATTATGCATTTAATAGTAAATGATTTTATTAAGGTGTTGTTTTATTTGACTTTAAAATATCTACCCACTAAACAAAGCGCCTTTAATAAGTAGCTTAACTCGTCGAGTACCGGTTTTGCAGACACAATTATAGAACAATAGGTTGCGGTCACCGGTGACCGCTTGGTATTTGACAGTTTAAATTATCATGAAGTAAAGAAAGTGTAATGAATGGAGTCCTGTTTCATTAGATATTTACTTCATTTATTATATAAAGCTGAAGAGTTAATTGTTTGAACGACATAACATGAAGGATTCCTGGCTCGATTAAAAAAAAAATTGTTGGATAGTTATTTATCAAGGAAGGCTATGGACCATCACGTTTCGACCAATAGACGTCGAGCAGCGGGTGAAATCGCGTGGAAATAGCTAACAAGTAACTATTGTGAGAATAAATTAACTAAAATCGCGGGTTACTCAGGTTAACGGGTTACCGGGGCTCCGGCTCGAAGTGCAGGAGTAGATTTTAGTCAGTAACGGGGTGGTTTTTAGTCAGTAAGAGTCTGACACTCCCTCCCGCCTCACCCAGACGAGAAGTCGTTCGATGATTTGCCCCTCTTAAAAAAAAAACACTAGTCTCCAATGTCGTCGGTGTGCCGGTCGCCTCCAAGTGCGGATTCGTAACCTACCAACGGCAAGTACCTACCCATGTGACTTCTTCCGAGTTATAGGTTTACTTTCTAAGATTATTTAGACACCACTGACAAACGGTGAAGAAAAATCTCCGCTTATAATTTTTAAATTAAGTATTATTTGTTTGAAATCGCTAACCCGCATTGAGCAAGCGTGGTGATTAATGCTCAAACCTTCTCCGTGTAAGAAGAGGCCTTTGGTCAGCAGTGGGCATTTATATGCTGTTAATAATGATGATGAATAATATTTTAACTACAAATGTAATATGAAATTAGACATAAAGTTCACTAGGTTTTAGGTTCATAATCCCTAAACTGAGCAAACTGAAGAATCGTTCGATAATAATATACTGATGGCGGATTATAGCGAATATCGGCCATTGTGTCGACACCTGTTGCGTTTGTGCTTCTAACGGACGATGGGATAATATAGACATGCCTTTACATTATTTCGTACTACAGTTGCGCACGCGTTGCTATAGCCATAGAAAATGTTGGGTTCTTTATTATCAACTGTTCTTTTCGTACACCTATGAGGATGGTAATAGTATTCGTTTCAAGATTAGGCAAGAACTTAATTTGAGATGTTTTAAACTTTAAATGCATATCGCTTTAACGAACCAATCTCCAGTTCGTATTAGAATATTTAAACTCTAAAGATATCTAACTTTGCAGGTAGATATTCTTCGATTTTTCCCCTATGGGTGGGCCTAAAATTCCCACAGAAAATAATAAAATAGATACCTATATCAAAATCAATAAACAAAACAAAAATAAACTAAAGTCACATCCACTCTAAGTCTACCCACAACAAAAGCGCACCGCACAATGGGCGGACTTGGTTGAGAACACATCTGTTCCTCAACAAAAGATGCAAGGGTTGCTCCACAGTTTCGCTAAACATTAAATTTAAACCATGTCATGTGCATGATTGATTCACTAGTTAAACCTTTGGACACATTTCCATTCCATCTCTGTCCATCTCGATTACATAATGACTGTTACGATTTGTATTGTAGGAACGATTTCAAATGAAAAGTTTGTGTTTTAATCGATGGTCCTGTTCAGGTGTCCTATAGGAATCTAGTCTCAATTTAAATTTTACATAACATCATGCCTTTTATACCCGAAGGGGCAGAGGTGCACATTACGGCAGTTAATGCCACTGTACAATGTAACACCCACTCTCCACTATTTTTGTTATGAGTCCCATGTAATAGGGGGTAAGCCTATTGCCATATACCGGACACAATACCAGACTCCGTGCTACAACTGAGATTTTTTTTAAAACTCAGTATACCTCGCCCGACCAGGGAATCGAACCCGAGACCCCTTGCCCAGCAGTCGCACTTACGACCACTCGGCCAACGAGGCAGTCAGGTCTGACATCAAGCCATATCCCCGAAGGGATAGGCACATTGCGGCACTTAATGCTACTGTGCAATGCAACACCCAATGTTCACTATTTATGTTATGAGTCTGGTTTAATAACTTATTATTGTATCCCTACGTCAAAAAACATGTTCGCGTGCACCCAATTATTGTCATTAATAACAATTAAAATATTCTATACATAATCACGATAACTACAACTTTCACATACTTTAGACCAAATTACAAAAATCACCCTTAAACTTATCTAGAGAAAGTTCATATTACACTTTCATTTTCATAAACTGCATTAGCTTATAATTTCACACATCAATGATAACGTAATGATACTGCTGACACGTGTTTTAATGTTATTGTAAATTGATACAGCCCTTTGTTTGTTTTGGGTGCACTACAATTATTGTAGTCACCAATAAATGATACGGTTCATAAGTAGTAGATAACAAATAACACCTTAGTCACTAACTGTGTAGGTACTACACCTCTGTTCAGCAAATAAAGACATTTGATTTGATATGATTTGATTTGATTAGATAGTTAGTAGGTATCTCCCTATCTCCCTTCAGGTAACGTGGTTTTGATTTGTATATGCCTTACACCGGGCGTCGGGGATCGCGGGTCGATCTCCGGCCACCGTAAGCGCGGGCCTGCGGACGGCGAGCATGGGTGGCTCCCCGTCCGACCAGAAGCAGACACGAGCGTAAGGCGCGTCGCGTTCCGCGCGCGCCTCAAAGAGTCAGCAGACCACCACAGATGGGGCCCAACAGGGCCGATGCCGATTCGGAGTCGCGGAGAACCTAACGGGTAACCGGGGCTCCGGCTCGACGTGCAGAAGAAGGAACAGGGTGGTTTTTAGTCAGTAAGAGTCTGACACTCCCTCCCGCATCACCCAGGCGGAAGCAGTTGTGGCGACACATGGTACATTCTAACGGATGACGTCATAAAAATCCTACATCGCACATGCGAAGTTTACATTGGATTTAACACGGATAGAAAATCCCAACGAACAACTGTTGGGCAGAAAGCCCGCCAGGCACGATCACCTCGCCTGGTCGGAGGATCCTCCTTTTCCGATCTTAGGGAACTATACTCTCTGTTTCCTAAACAGTCATTCGATTATATTCCCCCGTTAAAAAGGGGGGGGGCGTCCATAAATAATTAGATTCTACGCTTTTTCATACTCCAGTCAGTTTCCATCAGTGCTGGATATTTTATGTCATCATCATCATCAACGGCCTATAAATGCCCACTGCTGAGCAAAGCCTCTTCTCACACGCATAAGGTTTGAGCATTAGGTAATCATCACGCTTGCTCAATGCGGGTTGGCGATTACAAACTTATAATTAGAAATTATACGCCCAGGTTTCCTTCACCGTTTGTCAGTGGTATCTAGATAATCTTAGAAAGTACATATAACTCGGAAAAAGTCACATTGGTACTGGCCGTTGGTAGGTTTCGCCCTCCTTCATGCATGAGAAGCGGGCATCTTAAATCTCCCGGCCACCACCACGAAAGAATTGTGATTCTAAAGAATTAAGTACAAAGAATATTGAATTTTAACAATCAATAAAACAATACCCACTACACAATTTTGAAAACAAACAGCGCTACAAAAGTCTATGTTCACACATAAATTATAATACTATTTTTAGTACTGTCAGCGTATTGTTTCGGTGTCGTGCCATATTTGGCAACTCACCGGGCAGGAAGCTTTGGGCCATGCATTGTAATTAGTCAGATCCGCTTCACGTGGTACCTGTACCTACTTGGTAATAATGATAGCAGATTGATAGTATTGGTATTGGTACACTGGCAATAACATAAAAGGATAAATCTATACATATAGAAAGAAGAAAGAAAGAAAAATCATTTATTCGACAATAGGCACGCACACAGATACAAAAAAAAATACAAAATTAAAAAAGAAAATAACAAATAAATATATTTATTTATACAGATATAGAAAAAAACACAAAGAAACGACAACGTATAACAAAACAGTGACAACAGAATACTAACAGAAGGTAATTAAAAATTAATGAAAAAACAAGATATAAATAAATAAATAACATTTAACGGCGCGTGCCCTTGCCAAAAGGGCACCCTGTAATAAAAGCGTAGGAAAGTGAGAACTGTACATCGAATGTTTTTTTAATAGAATGCTTTGAGCGTGATCTACAGTAGATACCGAAACCAAAAATGATTTTAGATTTTTTTAAAAAGTGCTGCATGTATTTGCTATTGTGTCATAATCACACGCCATTACAATTGCAATTTTACAGAATATCTACCACCATACTAGTAATAATAAGGTAGGTACTTAAAAAACCACATTTTACCAAAAATCCGTTAAATTCAAAAAACAGATAGACATCCCGCAGCCACTAAATGCAACACCTTAGCCCAAGGTGTTCACGAACATCTGTGAATAATCCGTTAAACTTTGAAGAGCCCGCATAAATGAGACCCATTTCAACAAATAAATCATGAAATCTTTGAAATAATATAAATACTTAGGATTCGGAAAGGAAGGAAACATAAAAGCGCCCTATATACATTTTTGACGTGTTTATTTCTATGTGGGCCTATTTTTTTGGCCAGATGTGTATGGTACAATGTTGAATGATTCATTCGTGGAGTACTTGATTGATATTACCGAAATATCGACGTACGTTTTCGGAAGTCACGTTCAACGTGACAGTAGTCAATGTGGTTACATCATTTGACACTTTCTTTTGTTTCACATTAGTTATGTGTTTGACTTAATTAATCAAAAGTAAATTATGTATTTCGACTGTTCAATACAATGAAATTTTAAAAAATAATCACATTTTCTTTAACTTAATTTTAGTATTCTTTTTTAACATTTTTTTAAGAAATAAGTATCTTGTTAAATACCTAAGTAGTAAAAAAACACAATCTCGTAA